TTTCGGGTTAGGGCTTATATTGGAGGCCAACCCTGATAATCCAGCTAGGGCTTATTTTCGGGGTTGGTCTTATTTTCGGGGAAACACGGTATATCCACCATCCGAACTAAAGTACAGAACAACCGGACCACCCTGGTGTGAAGTGTGGCTGTAATTTACCTCCCTATATGTCTGTTCCATTCCCTTGGTTGAAACACACGAACGCTCTGCTGGATCTCCTGGGTGGCCGCCATTTCGGCAGCCGAACACGTGGCGGTGGCCATCTTAAACGCACGAACAGCGGTGTTTGATCGTCGAGTGTCTGGAACTCAAATCGGACACTCGACTAACCGAACACCGCTAAGACCTCCAGGACTTCAGAAAGTGCCGATCAAAACGCACGAACAGCCCGTCGTTTGGTAGGATGCATCCCACGAACTAGGGGATTAATCTGAATGCAGACTTAACCATGGATGACATAGACTTTCGGGACTTTTGAGGCACGAACAAAGACCGACTGCAGGGCCAGATCTCATGGAACTATTTTCTAATAGGTTTCTCACCCAGATCATTTAAAGGTGTACCTACCATATTTGGGGTACATCCATGAATTGGGGAAAAGTATGTACTTTATAATTATGTTAACTGTTAAGCTAAGAGGAGGAGATGTGTGGGAGGTAACGTCTATGTGATTGGTTAATGTAGTAATTATGATCAGTCCCTCCCTTGCATGGGAGAATCTCATAAAAGCAGGAATTGTGTCATTAAAAGTCAATTCTACTCCTGATCCTGTGTGTCGTCCAGTGATTGGGAAAGGTGATGGGATATTATTGGATTGTATTGCTGATTGTGCCTGTTACCCTATTTGGATTTACTACTTGTTCCTGAATTATTCTAATACATCAGTGGAGTTAAGCTGTGGGAAATCAGCTCTCCGCTACAATTGCTTACCCCGGCATTTACATCAAGAGTGATTGAGAAGTTTTCTTTTTCTTTCCTGGCCTTGTCCGGCTCAGCGTCCGTATTCTTCCCCTTTCGCGGTGTGGTGACTGCAATTCCCTCTTGCTCTGCTCTCCTTCTATCCTCCTCAATCAACTGTGATTTAAAGACAAGCACATGGTAAACCGATACAGCAAAACAAAGGACGCTTTTATCCAAGGGATATATGAGGGACTAATTCAACGGAGCACGCACATTTTATCCAGTGCGCCAGTGATGGTAAACCTTAGTTTTAAATAGGCATACACTTCCCAACACGATTAACTAGTTTAAAGCCTGGCCAGGTATCACAGAAAATGTAGCCTATAGTCTAAAAAGGCTTACTCCAGCACCACGCATTATTTCAGTGATTTGAAGTGGTCATGGTGCAGGTATTTGCAGGTTTTGCATTGAAACTCTGCACATTCCAGAGGTTAACCCTTTAGGTACTATAGGTGTAACTCCACTTCCAGCAGTATCATTAGCCAGCCAAGAAGTCAATTATATGCATGCATGCGCCAGACTGGCATCTGCACCCCCTTCCCCATTCTGTGCCACCCCTACCTAGCCCTCAGTCTGTCCTCCCTGCCCTCTGCCACCTCCAGCGAGAGGATGTGACTAATTCAGGGAAATAGGGCTACAGGGCTTTGACTCAGCAGAGATGGAACGGATGGGAGTTTTAACATTTATTTAAGGGGGGTGACCACCTCAGAAAGCGCTACTTTTGGTGGAGTGTCAAATTCAGCAATGACTAATCTGAATATAATTAAATCAGCTCAGATTCCGCCCACTACATACTGATATACACGCACGGATTAGAGTACATACCTTGTGCCTCAGGACCAAAGCTTCATTCTTCTTCCGTAAAGCTTCAATCTTACGGTCCAGCTCTGCATCCTTCTCCTCCTTCGATTTTATGTCTACTATAGAAGCCTAGGGACAACAGAACACAAAGCCTATAACTATATACCACAATAACAGTTATTTAGAAAATCCAGGTGAGAGGTATAACTATATTATTACAATAACCGTAACCGTTAATATGAAAATCCAGGTGAGAGGTATAACTATATTATTACAATAACCGTAATTGTTAATATGAAAACCCAGGTGAGAGGTATAGTATTTTAAAATCCATCAATTATTTAAAAAGAAAAATGTTAAATTCTTTACTGAAGGCCAAAATTGATGGGTATTTGCAATTACAGAAAACAATGCAGTTTTTGAATGCAGTCACAGTTTTTAAACTCCCAATCAGTGCAAAAAAAAAAAAAAAATAATCTAATAAATATCTTCTTAAAAGGAAAATTTCAAAATTAAAATGCAGAAGCAGTACGATGGTCGCAACCAGATCTCCAGATATGAAAGTCAAATAAAGGGAGAAACTCTGCAAAAGTTCAGAAGTGTTTTCCATTTTTTATTTTATTAAAATAAGAGAAATGAAAAGTAATTTTTTAAACTTTGACAGGACAGATTCGCCGTCACATTTATTTATATTGTTTAATTTAACTGTGACCTCCCTAGAAACAGATTTATATAAACCGTCGCATTTACCATATTCGATACTGTTCAATTCAACTAGGAACCAGTTTTCCTGTAAGAAAAACAAATATAAAATCAGACAGACAGTCTCCTCTATCTCTCTCCCAGCCCGGTCTCTTCTCTCTCTCTCTCTCTCT